GTGCTGGGTCGGGCATGCCCGGGTCGGGCAAAATCAGGCATATCCGGGTCAGGCAGGGTCGGGCATGCCCGACCCGACAATGATCTTCAATACTTTAATGTGAAGCTAATGATAAAGTAAATTATACAAATCTAACATCTACTTCAATGCTAAATCTGTGTGAAATGTTAATAATATTGTCGTGAATGTGAATCATACACTCCTTGGAATATTCCAGTCAATTATCATGATGACTTCGATAAGCTCACACACCACTCATCACTCCTATACATCACCTCATGTGCATACGATATGCACATAATCTACTCATCATTTATCATTACCTTAATGTCATTATACCCTATATAAGACTCACCCACTCTCTGTATTAATCGCAGTCTATTATAAGTCCTCTTCAAAGGCATTACTTTCTCTAATAAATAGTTGTTGTATATGTTAAGCGAGTGTACCGTTATTTAGCCCTTAATTAGGGGTTAATACCGTCGGCGACCACACCTCTAGTTGAGACAGTAGTGATCATACTTCGCCCGCAAGTCTGCTCATTACTGATCGTGACAATATAAACTGCACTAGGTTTGCGTGATATATCTAGATATTACTTAAAATTAAAAGTGATTACGTATAATTTATCATGATTATTTTTATTTAATAAACAATTTTAGGACAAAATTTAATTTTGTTTTAAAATATAAAATATGTGGTAATTTTATACCAATATTGAATTTCACAATATAATACTGAATTATATGCTATATTATGTTCAATAATATTTTAGGTTATGTTTTATTGAAATACAATTGTCGTTTATATAAATAATTTTTACAAAAATATGATTTAACAAATTATAAAATGTTCTATTTATTAATTAACTAATTTAATTAAGTTGGGTCGGGCATGACGTGCAGAGTCGAGCATGCCTGGGCCGGGCAAGGTCGTGCATGTCGTACAAAGTCGGGCAGTGTCGGACATGCCGTGCTGGGTCGGGCATGCCCGGGTCGGGCAAAATCAGGCATATCCGGGTCAGGCAGGGTCGGGCATGCCCGGGTCAGGCAGGGTCGGGCATGCCCGGGTCAGGCAGGGCGATTCATCCCCCACCTATATAGTCATTTCTATAATAATAAATATAAATTTAGTAAATTATATAATATATCTTAAGATATCTTAAATAATATGTCGTACATTATACAGTATTTTAAATTATTTCAACAAGTTATAGATAATGTGAGTTATTTTTGTCAAATACTTATTAAATAATTTATTTAATTACATTTATAATGAATTTTTTGTTCAATAAATATTGTATAATGTGTAAAAATATTTAGTTAAAAAATTAATTGTTTAATTATGAATCAAGCATGTTTAGAAATAAAATTAATTTAAAATTTACATATTTTCATTAATTTTATATTTAGTCAGCATAAAGTATTGTGCAAATTTTGTGTCGTAGTCATAGACTTTTGTTGTATCAACCAATCCCTGTTTATCACGATCAAGTATATTTATTAAATCTTCTCTAACATCCAGGTAGGTTTCGGCCCATAATTCCCTATTAGCCAAAATCTCATCTATCAAGCTCCTTTGTGTCGGTAGCCTCTCCTTACAATTATGCATAACACGACCAAGGGCATTATGTTTTAAATTGTCTGTGTTAAAAATTAACCTGTGCATGTAGGATTTAAACAAATAAAATTAATACTTAAATACATAAATAAAAACGCCTTTTTGTGCATTAAAATAATTATTACCTGTTTCGATCCACAGCAAAAATATCCTCGAGCACAACACCCATGCTATAAACATCGGCTTTTACCCCGTACTGTCGGCCGGCTTTAACCTCTCAGGTCATATATTTGTGCCTGGTGCTACTGGTAAACCTGCTACTGCCGGTGCCTATAGTATGTGTTTGTGAATTACTAAAGTGCTGTGTAGCCTTGCCAAAATCGGCCAATTTGACCATGTGGCCACTGGCACCATGCTTGATTAGTATATTCTCTGGCTTTATATTACGGTGCAATATAACGGGTGTTTGGTCGTGTAATGTTTGAAACGCTTTAAATATTTCTTGCACGAGCTCGGTGATTACAAAGTAGCAAGCTCGTTGTGTGGACTGACCAGGTGAGCTAGTAATATAGTCATGCACTCGTCTTATAGCGCCAACCAGATTGAACCAACATAGATCCATTTGTATGTTAAGCGTATTAACTGAGTGTTTGTAACGGCTCTCAGTGTGTCGTTGCGGGTCATGAACTGTAGCCAAACCAAAGTCACACAGTTTTACACAACGATTAGACCCAATGTTGGGATTTATTGAAATATTGTCGGGTTTGAGATTACGATGAATGACTGGCGGATCAGATGAGTGCAGATATTCAACACTTTCTAAGATTTGTTTAAATATTTCACATGAAATGAAAAACTCAAACACATTCATCTCTTTTTCCGGTTGTCTCTCGAAGACAATGGCTTTCACTTCGAGGAAAGATTTGAGATTTTAATAATTATAATGTTTTTTGAATTGATTTTGAAAATTATAGTTAAAATCTAGTTTGTGTTTATATTATAATAATTACTGTATATTTATTTATCAAAATACCACTGAAATACACAATTTTCAAATGAAAGTAAGAGAGAGAGAGAGAGAGAGATTAAGTTGTTTTTTAATAAAATTTATTTATTTATAGCCCAATTAATTACTATTGTTATAACAATGCAAAATATAATTACACAGATATTTAAATTATTAACCCTATACGCGTATTTTGGGTGTTTAGAATCCCAGAGCAACTTTAAAAATCAATTAAAAATCAGCGGTTTATGCTATTGTAAAATAAACTCAGCAATGCCTCGAAAACAATATTAATTATAAATACAGAAAATTTTAGATTTGTAAATTTAATCTATCATATTTTAATTAACAATTGGGTAATTATTATCCCATACGACGCGTAACGTAAGTTTTAATACTGTAGTATAAACAGTGCTAATCATTGTAGGTGTTGTGCTCGCGCATGACGCTGTGCTTGGGGAACTAATCTCCCACTGTACACGATGGGTACTTAATTTGCAACTTATAAACAAAACTACAATTACATGATTAAACACATGACTCGTTGCTCATGATTGTTATTGTTGTAATACAAGTTACTCTATTTAATGATTACACATGTTTTTCATTAGAAAAAATATATATAATTTATAATTATATATTTTAAAATCATACCAATTACAAATAAAAAATTAATACAAAAATTAATATAGTATCCTGGTTATGCTGCAAATATATTGTACAAACAAACACAATATATTGTATATAATGTACGTTAATACAGTATACGCTACATATAAAATAAGTAGTAAGCTATGTACATATTTTACTTGTATAACTCCAATATAATATTCATAATTATAATAATTATATTAGAAAATAATACAATAACATAAATGTAACTACAATAGGGCACTAGTTTATTTTATAAAAATGAGGTTTGGATAGTGGGGGAATAGTGAAGCAATTGAATGTATGTTTTATAAAAATGCAATCATATGCAACAACAACACCTACACTGACTCAACAAACATACTTACTGCTGGGTTATTTATCTCCCACTGTACACAGTTGAGCATATATGGGAGATTAAACACCCAATTTGCACACTATAGTGTTGGGAGATTCAAATCCCATGATAATCGCAACGTTCATAATGTTTGCAGACGCTTAGAGGGTTAAATAAATTATTTTTAACAATATGTGGTCTCTGTATATAAGAGGGCAAATCATTGGATATTTTAGTGTTATTTAATTTACACAATAAAAACTTATAGAAAAATGTATTTTCTTTAGATTTAAATGATTCTAAAACTGAATTAATACTCTTGTGATTCTTGACAACACTCTTATCAATAGACCATTCGTTATATTTAGCCAACACTTCCCGACACTCAGGTCTTTGCCTAAACTCATGGCTCATCATTGATTGCAATGTTTTATACAAACATATTATCGATGAATTAAACAGCGATTCTTGTGCTGAAAATGATATCGATCTAAATATAAGACAAATAAACAGAATAACAATGTTTTTAGTAATTTTACCAAGATTATAAGCGTGTAATTTCACAAAGATATATTACACAAAAACACTTACGGCTGTAAATCTACGCTAAAGATCTCTTCACCGATTAGAGAGAGACTAAAAATATCTGATTTATGGTTATATTTCCTATGAGTGTATACTTCGGGTGCGATATATCTAAAAGTGCCCACAAATGAGTGCACATATCGGCTGGCAGTGTGTCGTTGGGGATCGTGTTCGGTGGCCAAACCAAAGTCACACAGTTTTACACAACGATTGGCCTTAAGATTGGTATCAATTAATATATTGTCGGGTTTGAGATCCCGATGAATGACTGGAGGTTTGGATTCGTGGAGATATTGAATACTCTCTAAAAGTTCTTTGAATATTTCACATGAAATAAAATATTCAAACACACTATTCATGTGGTCTTCCGGTTGTCTCTCGAAAACAATCGGTTTGTCTTTGAGAACAGATTTAAGACTTTGTAAACAGAACTCCATTTGAATGAAGAGATGATTGAACTCAAGCCATGAGTTGTAATACTTTACTACAAAATCTGAATCTAGTTTTGCTAAACTTTTCACTTCTTTCAAAACCTTTTGCTTTTTTTCTTCACTAAAATCTGTGAAAATATTTTATGAAATATTTATTTGAATTTTATAAATGACTTAAAAATAAATATATTAGTTATTGAATTTACCCCCAAATTGTATTCTTTTAACGGCATATATCTTATCATCCAATCTATGCTTTACTTTAAATACAGTCCCAAAACCACCCGAACCTATGGCTGACACCTCTATGAATTGGGTTTTATAATTACCATCATTAGAATTGTTGTCATCTGTCAAATAATTATTAATAACATTAAATCTTTGTTAAAGTTAATTAAAAAGTTTGAACAGTGAACCTTGTTCATTATAATATTTTTAAAATACCTATGCTATGGCTGGCAATAGATGTATAAATATTAATTAAATCACCCTGCTTGGAATTTCTATTGTGAGCTAAAATGGGTGTCGACTGAAGTGATCGTTGTTTTAGATTTATATTTGGTTTTGTTAAACATGTCTGTTGTTTGTCTTTACAACAAAATAATAAAATTAATCATTAATTTTATATTGTGTTTAAAAATGAACTAAAATTACCAGTTGTTTGCTTTGAACTTCTTGTATTTCGTTTACCAAAAAATTGTTGTACAATTTTCACGAAACTTGTTTTATTTTTACTATTAATTTTATTGTCTATTTTGTCTGATATATGCTGTACATCATCTGTAAAACGAATTTTAATATTATATTATGCAATGTAATTTAAGTGTGAAAATAAAGTACCATAATCATTGGTGTATTTAATGTTGCCAGCATGCTCAATTGCAGTTATTTTTGATTTAATATCAAGATTAAAATTACTCAATTTTAATGAGTTTAGAGTTTGAATGACTTGACCCGCGTTAGGTCTGCTGTCTGGATATAAACCTGTAAGTGTTAAAATAAACTTTTTTATTTCAACATGGTTGGGCTCCAGTGCGTATTCAGATAATCTATTTAATTAATTGCACACATTCATTAATTTACTTAATTAATTTAATATTTAATTTATACGTATTTTTATGACATAGTAAACTTACGAGGCAAAATCAAATAGGTCTTCTAAAATGATTCCGGTGCCATAAATATCTGCTTTTGTATTATAATGATTATAATATCCAAACACTTCTGGCGCTATGTATCACTGGGTGCCTAACCTTGACGTGTGTGTCATATCAAATTGGCCAGCTCGATGATAAGTAGCCAGGCCAAAATCGGCAATTTTAACCTGCAATCTATCACCATTAACTATAAGGATATTATCCGGTTTTAGATCTCGGTGTAAAATATTATTATCATGCAAATATTTTACGCCCACCATAATCTCTGTAAATATATAATGGTTGATCGCGTAATTCTCAAACAAACATTTGACTGGCCTAATATAATTAGCTTTTGCCTTGATAAATTTAGATAGACTATACGAGCAAAGGTCCATTTGTATATATAACATTTGGCATGGTATATCTTTAAAAACACCATGCCTAATCTCATCGCGATAATTGCCATTTTGTAGCCAATGTGTGCGATATTGTACCACGTACTCAGATTGTAATCTCGCCCATATTTGTATCTCCCTGATGTATTTATCAAATCGATCCGGATATTTTATTGGCACTTTTTTGATCGCGTAACTTTTGCCAATGAGTTTGTCACGAGCTTTAACTACTGATCCAAACCCACCACTACCCAAATCATCTTGCACAATAAAATTATTTTGAAACCTTTTTAAATTCACTGGACTACTGTCCATGTTAAATTTGTTAATTGATTTAGTAAACAGCAGCAAAAATTACAAAATGGCTATATGTGAATGACAATAATTTACTATGTATAATTGTTGGTGTACTACCTGTATGAATCATATGATAATGTTATAATATATTTAGATAAATGGTTGAAATTCCACTTATAAAATGTTTTATTATATTTGCATTGTTAGATAAAATATTTTACCGTTGTATTATATTTATGTTTATGAAATACTTATGATCAAAGTGCAAAAAATGTATTAATTTAATGTTTGATTAACGCAAGTTGATTATAATTGTTTTATTATTTTTAATTATAAGTACATAAATGTTATAATATGTGGATAATATAAATCGCACAATATATAGATAATAAAATATATGAATAATAGAAAAGCGGCAATTAGTAGCATCTTGAAATATCTCTAACTATGACGGAATAAAAGTTATCTAAATACATGTTTATAATTAAATTTAATTAATTAAAAAAATATTATTTCACAAGTTTGCTATTAATTAAAATAAATTGCTAAAGGAGTTAATTTATCTTCTATAATTATTAGATTATTAGATATTTTAAAATAATTTTTATTGTTTTAATAACAAATATATATATATTTTTTAATTTTTCAATATTTCATTTTCTTTTACATATTCTCTTATATTTATTATTAGAAATCACTTTAATTCAAGATCCTCAAAAATTTTGTCAGATATAATTGAATTTGCATAAAATTCTATCTAAATATATTAAAATAAACTATTGGTAAACTGATTTAATAATCCATAATCATCTCTGTGCAGTATTATTAACCGCTAATAATCTATGTTTTAGTTAAATGCAATAGTTTTATAATTAAATATAATTAATTAAATCTATAATTACGATTAATCTATAAAAAATAACATTCTTTAAATTTGTAAATCAAATTGTAATTGATATGTAGGTAATTAATGTAAATAATATTACATTTTAATCTTATTTGTCCCCGGCTTAATTATTAAAAATCCACATGTAACAAACTATGCTTTACATTTTTCACTTAGAAAATACTGAATAAAATTATCATGGCCATTATATGTGCAATCGGTGACCCCGGTGATTAAATGCTTAACATCAGTAATACTTGTGGCCCATTGATTGCTAATCGTCAGTATCTGTTCACAAGTGGGTCTCTCATTGGCCGTACCCTTTAAGCAATTGCCGATCACGTGTTCAATTGTTTTATACATATCATCCGGGTTTAATCTCCTATAAAATATTATGACAAAATTATATTATGACATAAAATCTATAACTTAATTAGTACATAGTGATTAAATTATTGCGCAAATTATTGTATTAATTATTGTATATAATATTGTATTATTAGTATGAATCATTAATTACATTAGCATATTGATATTCATAATAATATTGATAATAATTACCCGATTGTATTATTATCAAAATTGAACAAATCCTGGCCAACCATTCCCAGACTGTAAATATCGGCCAAAGTATTATACCTGCGCCCACCCCTGACCTCGGGTGCCATATAACGTTCAGTGCCCTTATTCTGTGTATGTGACATAGCTTGGGGATCGTGGTAAACGGCCAGGCCAAAATCCGACAATTTTACATACTTACCTAGATGTTTGATATGAGGGTATATTAAAACATTGTTCAAGTTTATATCACGGTGTATTATTGGCGGTTTGCCAGTGTGTAGTATTTTCACCGCGGTCACAATCTCTACCATTATCTCGGATGCCATATAATAGCCCAATGGGTTAAACAATTGTTTTTTCTCTGACTGAAAGTAGTTAAGCATTTGTTCAATTAATGTACCCAATGATAGCCAACATAACTCCATTTGAATGTACAAATATGGCACACGGTCGTTTGGCTCGTTTTCAAATTCAACCCAATGATCATGGTATTTTACGAAATATTCATTGTCCAATTTTGACCACAATTCTATGGATTTAATTGTTAGCTTTAGTTCGTGTTCACCTAGTTAAAGCATTTAACACATTAATGAACTTATTTAACAAAAGTACCTTATTTAAAAATATTTAATTTGATTATTACCATCTAATTTAACTTTTTTGACAGCATAACGTATAGTATCACGATTGGCAATGGTATTCAAAATGTTACCGTATCTACCCTGTGTGGTCAAAATATTGTCGAGTCTAAAGTCTCGTTTAAATTTACCATTTTGAAATACTGAAAAATTCAACTCGAGCTCCATTTTGCTTTTTGCGTCGTTTACGGATTTTTCATCGCAATCGTTAGCATTGCGTTTAACGGCCAAAAAATATTCAACAAAATGTTTATCATGGTCGTAATTAACGCTTGAATCAATGCCCATCATGGTGATATCCACTCTAACACTTTCATATGCGGGTGCCCATTTGCTCCGACACTCGAGTATATCCATGCATGATGGCCGATTAGCGATAAGACCGTTGGTGCACTTGGTCACAATTTCTTCTATTTTACCATAGTATTCTTTGTATTTGTTTTCTAATTTCCTTTAATTAAAACACAGTAGGTTAATAAAATTATATTTACTAACGAAGTACAACATTAAATAAATCAACATTAAAGTAACATTAAATCAACATTAAATTTACATTAAATCAACATTAAATCAACATTACATATTTTTAATCAACATTAAATAAAAACAACTTATCACAGCCAGATCTACACATTTATCCAATGTATATCCTTGTGGTATCTACCCTATAAATATTTAATAACAGTGTAATATTGTCGAATAAATTTGCAAAATACTCTCGAGCAATACATAATCATTTGTAATACAACTAGCAATATTATATAGTAAGTACAGTTATACCCGATTTTATTGACATCAAAGTTGAACAATTGTTGGGCAATAACACCAACGCTATAGACATCGGCTTTAATATCACAAATACTGCCATTCTTTACTTCCGGAGCAATATATCGGTCACTATCACCGCTTATAGACTGTACTTGCGATTGGTAGTCACCGGGTAGGGACCAAGTGCTTTCGAGACCAAAATCACCCAACTTAATGAATCGCCCGCTACACGATTCGTGTTTAACAAGTATATTATCCGAATTTATATATCTATGAACAATGTTTAATAAATGTAAATATTGAATGGCAGATAGTATCTCGGTAAATAATTCGGATGCCATGTAGTAACCCACGGGTGGCAATAATTGATATTTAGCATGGCCAAAATATGTTTGAATTTTGTCCATGAGCGCTTTTAATGAAAACCAGCACAAATCCATTTGAACATATAACAGTTTAACATGTTTGTTTTTGTGCTCCTTTAATTTTTCACCATTTTCAAACCAATGGTACCGGTATTGAACGCAATGATCAGGGTCTAAATGCCCCCATAATTGTATCCCTTTTAGCGCATGTTTTAATTGATCTGGATCTAAATTAATGCTATTATTATTAACACGTGTTAAATATTTATATTAGCTTGTTTATTTACCGACACATGCTATTTTCTTAATAGCATAAGAGCTGTCAATTAATTTATGTTTAGCTTTGTACAACCTTGATCCAAATGGCGAGCTATTTGAACTTAATAGATCCATTATGTCAAAATCGTTTACATTGACCAAGTCTATTTTTGAATTGTCTTTTATATAATCTTTTAATCTGGTTTCATTATAAAAACTCTTTACATCAGTTTTATCTTGACTATTTATTGTATCCATAGAGAACCATTGCTTGATTTTGGTCATGATACATTTACTTAATACATTTCTATAATCTGCTTTGTTATCAACACTATAACCAAGTTCTGTCAACGCAAAACTACCATCAATGGCCAACTCATTGAACATATCCAAAGTTTCCCTGATGTTAGGCCTGTCGGATGGCATTGTAGTTGTAAGTTGCAAGATAAAATGCTTTAACTTGAAACACATATCTTCCAACAATTCATCGCTGTATTAATAAAACAATAATTTATTAGCATGGGGGAGTTACACAAAATAGCTATCATAAATTAGCAATATGGATAACATGTTAATATGATTTTATTTAACAACATGGCTCATTTGCAATAAACACATGTAGAAAAGTTATGTAAAATACATGGCAAACACATCATTATATTTATCCATGTTTATTATAATTTAATTATATGGTTAATTAAAGCGACACTCTATGGTGTTAATCACTGTATGTTGTAACTTAATAACATGATAATTTATAGTATATTAAATCTAACTTACCCTAACGAATCAAAATTAAATATCTCTTCGCAAATAACACCCAAACTATAAATGTCGACAGCAGTGGTATAGCGGGACAGACGGTAAACTTCGGGCGCAATATATTTAGTGGTACCAACACTAAGCGTATGGGAATATACGTCATCATTATGTAAAGTTGCCAGCCCGAAATCACCAATTTTTAAACATAGTTTATTATGAGTAAATGTGAACAGTATATTGCTTGGTTTGAGATCTCGGTGAATGATAGTTGGTTTGTGAGTGTGCAAATAATGAACGCACTCTGCCGTTTCCAGAAACAAATAGTACGATATTAAATAATCCCATTGGTCAATGTTAAAAAATTGTCGGCGTGGATATTTTTTAGTTTTCATCGTGATTAAATTGCGCAAATTGTCCACGCATAAATCCATCAAAATGTACATGGTCAATACTAGATCGGCACCCGTGCGCTCCAGCCAGTGCGCGATATACTGAACAACATGGTGGGATTGCAATTTTGACCATACGTTTAGCTCGCGCATATATTTCTTAATATCATCCTGTTTCTTTACTTTAACTATCTTGATGGCGTAATCACGTTCAATTAGTTTGTGACTCACCCGGGATACATCGCCAAACGAGCCGGCACCGAGTTTACTGATTATTTTAAAATTTTTATCCAATCTATCTATGTAAATTGGTAAATCTTCATCAACAGATATTTCTGTTTTAGTTTTCGCAATAGTTGTCATTTATATTTTAATAATTTATTATTATTATTATTTATTAATATAATATTATTATTATGGTAAAAAATTTGGAATGATGAAGTTGAATTACTTTAAGCGTTTTTATTTGAAAAAACTAGAACAATTGATCAAAAATACGTTAAAATTTTTAAGTATGCTTTATCATAAAATATATATCCTAAGTAGCATTAACATAACGTAGTTTTATGCAAATATTAGATTAGCATAATAATTTTTTTAAGTGTTATGTAAATATTATATATACATGTATAATATATAATAATATTAATAAGATATGAATATGATAGTGAACCAATTTAAAAGCAAGGTAAATTATTTTTATATTGCAATATATACTCAATGACCCGGAATCTGTTACTACATTAATTGGAAATTGTTTCATACATCCTGTAATTTACCTTATATAACCTGATTGTTGCAATATATTTATTATTAATTTATATTGTGTGGTTTACTAACTAATAATTTTTCTTGAATAGCATGATAAAGAACAAACACAAACATAATTACGTTAATATAATTGTGCAAAGTCAATAAACCACTTTCAAGTAATAATTAATTTTTAGACAAATAAACAAAAATAATGTAATTTAAAAAATATAGACACCATTTTGTGTTAATGTTAAAATCATTTACACACAAACATTTTTTGTTATAACTTTTTGTTATAAAATTAATCTTGAAAGTTACGCATACATAAAATTGTAGATAGCTTGTTTTTTATAACTTATTTAGTATTAATTTATACTTGTATCTATTTGTAATTTGTGTGAATTATAATAATGAAATTTTGTGTTATAATTTAACTTTTCTAATAATTGTGAAGTTTTAGTTAATAATTATAACGACAAAATTTATGTTTAATCTATTATTGCAAATTGGTAATTGCTGAATGTTATTGGGATCGGTAGTCTGAGTAATAGTTGTTATGATAACCTATTGAAATAATTTAGCTTTAAGTATCTAATAAGGAAATCACACGTTATGCCAAAATTAATTATTTAACACGTTATACATCTTTGATCTATTTGAATTAATTGGCAGTTAATTCTTATAATTACCTTACTCCTTTAAGCGGTTTAAAATTAATAGCTAAATTAATATGTAAAATTTAATTTAAATAAATTTGGAACATTATCACACATGTGCTTTCATCGGTAATATACTATTATACAATATGGCTAAAAATTGTGTGGGTGAAATATTATAATAAAAATGCTTATTCGATATCATTATAATTACGCCCAAATTATGAGTGAAATGCAAATGATAAATATTAATATTATATTCACTAATGTAAATATAAAGTTATTCATAAACAAGTTATTCAATTGGTTCTCCGATATTCTAGCAGTTAATTATACAATTATACAATGATTGGTTGGGATGTTAAATTATGAAATGGCTAGCATTTGATAACTACTAGACGGATTTTAATGCAACAAATTTTATTCTAGAGATATAAATATTTTTATTGTCGATTAAAAGCATAATGGCTTCTATTAACATGTTGCATAAACTATATTATTTATATATAGTTATTTTGTATGTTTATATAATTTAAAGTTATTATTAAAATTATTATATTACTAAAACTCGTGTTTAATATTAATATAGCATTGAATATAAATATAGCACTAATATTATACAATAGAGGATGCATTCATTATAATCCATTTTTTGACATGGCATTCATGATGAAGATAATGTGCAATAAATAATTTTACTTGATTAAAATAAATTTACAATTACATTTGTTAAGATTAATAATATTAACAATGGCTACTTTAAACAAAGTCTTTTGGTTTTCAAAAATTATAATTCCCATAATGCTATTTTAAAAACTGTTTTCATCAAATTTTGTCTAGTAGTTTTTCACAATTATATTTAAGTTATAAACAAAAGTATTTAAAACCCGATCATTGTTGTTTTAAAATAAACGACCAAGTTATCTATAATATACAACTAGAATATAACAAGAATTAATTAGCTACAATCTTATAAAACTTAGACACGTAGACAAATTATATATTTTAATTATGTTGGATCAATTAATTATTTATATATTCAGTATATAGATTTGATTATTTTATTATACATTTCTTACCTGCGTCGTAATGATCAGTTAGTGAGAGATAGATGTTTATTAATCATATAAATCAATTGATAATAATGAACACAAAAATATATATTTATCTAAAACAGGATCAATTTGAAAAACAACATACTTTCAACAAATAACAGCGTTTAATATACTTTATAAGTACTAATTTTGTTTAACTTTTTATCAATTTTAAGATAGTTACTATGCTGGCTTAACAATTAACTAACTAACAATATAAACTTAATATTGTTTTCAGTTCATGTAACTTTAATAAGTTTTCATTTAATTGTATACTTACACAAGTTTTTCATAAATGTTATATTAGTTTAATTTAAATTCATACCTATTGCTTTGCAAAAAACTGTAATTTTTAAATGACCGCTAGCAATAAATTAACTAACTATATGAGAATATTTTTCTAAAAATGCATCTTAATTATTTAAATTAATCAAAATGTTGTTGAGTTTAAAATCCCGATGATTCTATAAACCACATTATGCATAGCTGAATTGTGGCTAAAAATTATATATTATTGTTAGTCTATAATTGAGAAATGAATTTGAGATTAAGATTAAAGTTATTTTTAATAATTATAAACTAATCAAATGAATAAAATTTTCATCTGTTCTCATAGTTATTAATCAAAACAATAAACAAATAATAGCTACAATTAATCTCTGCTTAAAATAATTAAATTAAAAAATTAAATCATAAATAATTATAATATTTAAGAATTGTTATTTTGTTTTGCGGACCAAAATCTCATAAAAATTGATTTTTTGTAGATTTGAGATTATTTTGCATTTCATTAAAATCCTTGTGATTATTGACAAAAATCCTGTCAATCGACCACTCGTTATGTTTGGCCAACACTTCCCTACACTCAGGCCTTTGTCGCCTAAAGGGTGTTGACATCAAGTGATTGCAAACTAAAAATATTGTACAAAATATACGTATGTTATAATTAAACAATGTTAAAAATATTGAGTAAATGTAAACAATTATACCTACGCTTAAAGATCAATAGCAAACACTATTATGTCAATTAAATAGAGGCTATAAATGTCTGATTTATGATTATATGTTTTCCGGTTTGAGATCCCGATGAATGACTGGCGGATTAGATGAGTGAAGATATTTCACACATTCTAAGATTTTTTATATATTTGCCTGATACTATTTTTACCTAGAATAATTATTTCAAAACAAATGTTTATCTATTTTGATTATGTGAGCATATACCAATATTAGTTATTTTCATATACAATTAATATTGTCGCCTGTCTATAACACATCCTATGTTTATCAGTAGTATCGATAGTGTTATTCAAAAGATAAATGATGGGTGTTTTGTCGGCAGCCAAAGCTCTAACTAAAACAAATAAATGTGCAACTTTTGGTGCATAATTACGGTGAATCCACAGGGTTATTTAACTAAGTTCCCATAAAATTGACCACTACTCGGACGTCTCTGACCATTTGCCAATTATGATAATAGATAACGCATTTGGTTACCATTTTGTAAATTGTCATATCAATATAAATAGGCTTGATCAGGGGCACTCCACGTACAATTTTCCTGAGACAAAACTTATATGTGTGGTTGAAACATGATTCGAAACATACTTGTCCATTTACCTTTAATTTAATTGTTTAAACTGTATCGCAACAATAAATATTTCTAACATAAAATAATTTTTACAAATTAATCAAGTTCATTGCCACACATTTCCAAATATAATTTATTTTCATTATGCTATTTATTTAAATATTTATTAATGAAATAATTTAGTCTTATAATAAATATACAGACATTTGAATTATTATTAATTAAAAAGTGAAAGATGATTGGCAAATACGTATTAGCCTCAGTCAAATAATAAAAATCGACATAACTGATAGGCCATCAGGTAGTGAGTCAATTTCCAAACTTATAAACAAACTGTACTTTAAACAACAAAGGTATAATGGTAATAATTGTAATTTAATTCAAATGATGTTAATGGAATCGATCAGTTGAAGTGTTTATTGTTAAGGTACTTTATTTTGTCAAAAAATTTACTGGAGTTTGGTTTAGAGATGCTGTGGCTTAATAGACATCAACACCTGGTAAGAATAACACCCTAGGTTGTAATAACCTAGCGTGACACCCCAATTGTCGGCTAAAATTAGTGCTGGCAATGGGTTTCACCACTTTTTACCATATATTTTTTGAAAAATTTAAGAATTTAAAAACACATTAACCAAAAGATAATATAACATATTGTGACAAATTTTTAAACAATAAATTTGCTGAAAAATCTACAGTAAAAATGATTGAAAAAGACCAACTTGTTAAATGACAAAAATAAAAGTATTTTACACATAGATGTACTTCTTTAGTTTCCAAAACATTATTATCAAAATAAAATAACTACATATTATTATCGTATATTCCAATATTTACAGTTTTTAGTATTAAAATTTTAACATAAAATACATACAAAGAGGATACAGAAATTTTTTAAATTAATTTTAATTTGCATTACTTTTAAACATATAATTTACCTTAATTACTTTACTTAACCCTCATTAAAATTAATATATAGATTGTTTTAATGAGCTTATAGAAATATTTTTCATGTTTGCAACATCGCCTAAACATAATCATGATCATTTAGAGTATGATTTTCAAATATATTTAAGCACAATTGAAACTTCACACTGCTATCTAATCAATAGTGTTATATAAAATATTTTACATACAGTAAATAAAAATTAATTTATAATATTAATTAAAGCATTTTTAATATACATTTCATAATTGGTTTCACTTTGAAACTCACTATTTCAATAGTATTTTGCAAAAATAAATCAATGTTATATATTCACACAATTAATTAATTTTAGAATTTTATAATAAACCCTATTCAGTTAATTTGGCGATCAACTGAGCATAAATTAAACTAATTAAACAATAAGATTTATTATTTTAATAAAGAGTAAAATATTATCATGTTTTTAAATAGATTTAAATGTGTAATAATTTATTTACCAAGTATCGGTTTGCCCATCATAATTATTTTAAATATTGTTGAATGATTGAACCATATTAGAATATATTTGTTACAGTTATTTAATCTAAAGTGCAAGCAATGTGACCAAAGCTCGGGTATGTGTGACCATTGCCATAATTATATTTTTAATATCGATATTGTGGTCAAACTCAACACATACTTACTAATCCGTTACTTCATATCACTCACAGCATTTCCGAATTAAATATAGAAATGCCAATAATGTTGAATAAATTAAAAGCATGTTTAATTTCCATCTGTAATAAAAATTATAATTTATTTTTTGATTTAATTGGCTGCCAGTTAATTTTATGAAATTTATAATTCAGTGAACAATAGTATATATATTCCCGAAAAATGGAAACAATTATTATTAATACGTGAGACTAGAAATGGTCCGCAATTGACGCCAATATACACACAAATCAATTTGTGTGATAAAAATATATTCATTTATGGCATTAATTTATTTAACTCTCTGCCACTCTCTGTCAGATCTACTTATTTTGTAAAAAATTTTATAACAATTTGTGAAAATTATTTAATGCAAATATATATGTCAAACTAATTGTCAATACTAACAAATTTTTGTATTAATCAACGAAGTTATGATTAAATAAATTATTATTATTATTATATTATTTTTAAAATGTTAAAACATAATCTGATGTAATTTTATGTATTATCTACAATTTGTATTTTTATATAGTTAATTGTAAAAGTATCAATACAAATTATTGTTAACAAAAATATATGCTGCACAATGTCACTTCACGGTTTGTATCAATACTCGGTAAATTACATAATAGTTATATAAAATAGAAATTTTTAATAAAATTTACAGTTATATAATATGCACCACTTGAGTGACAACCTAGTAGTTTATCAGTCATTTTAACTATGGTTACTATCCATACATAACATTTTTAG